TAATCCTACTATTATATATACTGTACATATAGAACTAATTACAAGCTTTCAAAATGAGTATATGTAAAAAATTTAAAATCTAAATAAAACCTTTATGGTATATTTTATCAATTGACTAATATCAATTTCTTTGCTTTGATATGGAACTGCAATTGCTTAAAATGCTATCATTGGAAGCTGGGCATGGTGGTGCAACCCTGTAATCCCAGTACTCAGGAGGGTGAGGCAGGAGGATTGCTGTGAGTCTGAGGTCATCCTGGGCTACATAAGTGAGTTCAAGCCAGTCTGCCCTACATAGTGAGAACCTGTATCAAGAATAAAAATAAATAAAGCTAATCATTAAGAATGTTACCTAAGTAGTCATCAGTAACTTTTAAGAATTTTGTCTTTCCTCATTCAGTTTATTACCATGGGGAATTTATCCAGCCAATGTTTCAAGGAAACTAATTATTCCTTCTACAGGAAAATTTGAAATCCTAAACAAAAAGGAAACTTGAATCAGATACACTTCAGCAAATCTTGAGTAACTCCCTAATGGAATGTTATAGTATTTTTAATTCTGTAAATGGTCTTAGAAATTATTATGGACATGAATTTATTCAAAATATAACATTTTTATCTTTTGATCCTAAAATTACAATATTTAATTTATATCCAGGCCTGTACAACATGCTATGATTTATGTTCATGTTCCTTTAAAATGCTTACTTTGTTGGAAAATCAAATCTGTGTTAAAAAAAAAAAAAGCTACTTTTAAAAAACTATGCTTTATGAGGCCTAAAGCAATCCACCTGGGATGAAGTGAATGCATATAACCAGGAGGTAAATCAGCCTGTATTTAATATTAAAATCAGATGCCAGTTCACATTAGCATTGCTGCTTGTGAACACTGCTGCAGAAATTCTAATTCTAAAAAAATTGAGTTTTATGATAGCTGTTGTGCTTTTTATTCTTAAAAGATTAATAATGCTCTGTAATGAGCTATCATTAATTACAAACAATATCCATTTGTAAAACTCCATGACTCCTAAAAAAAAAAGACTGCAGTTTTTTAGATCTCTTAAATTTGAAACATATATATCCTAAGAGATATTTAAGTGTCATAGACTTCTGCCACTGAAAGTTTCTCAAGAAAACTTCTGTTTGCTGGAGAAGGAAGGGAAGGAGCCCAGTTTTATTTAGTGTGGTATGTAGCATGTGACGCATTTACTGAGCTTACATAGATAATGAATGGTGAGAAATTGAGGTCTTTGGCCAACACCCAGTGAATAACTGAAGGTTGTTCACAGCTACACATATGATCTTGGAAGAAACTCTTCCACGTTCTGGCTGACCACTTGAATACAACTTCATGAAAGATCTTGGATTAGAATCACCCACCTACTGCTCCTAGATACAGAAACCATGGGAGCTCTCTTATAATAATAATTATGTACAAGTTTATCTTCTAAGTTTGGAAGTCATGTATTATGTAGTAGCTGATAAGTATTTAGTACTAGATGGTCAATAAAGATTTTCATTCCAAAAGTGGGAAAGGCATTGGGAAGAACCTGAAAATTTTGCAAGGATTCTAAAGAAACAGTGGTGACAACTTTAACTTTGAACAGATTATTCATAGAGTATTTGACAAGTGTTTTTAAGAATTGAACAGACAGTGAGAAAATTACTTTTAAATACTGCAAGAAAGGAGTTCCATGTTAATGAGATACAGAGTATCAAGAATCCCACTGTCTACAGTAATATATAAGGTAGGAAATGCATCTAAAGGACCAGGTTATATAGCTAAGAAGACATCAAGCCACTGTGGCCAAAGTGTGTCTTTTTTCTTTTTACTACTATAATAAGATTTAAGAAGACAATTGAAAGCAAAAGTAATGTTATTAAGATATACAAACTAGGACCTACTGGTATTAACTATCTGCAGTCTCATCACATGGCAGACAATGCTAATATTTGAAAGTGGTTTCCAATCAAAGATCATGTCTATATGCAGGACAGTCTCAGGGAACCATGACGTGAAGCTGCAGCTGAATGTGTGACTGTAAAGTCTCTTAAGAACTCAGAAGTATGAGACGTGGTCTCCAACTACTTTTTCCCAGAAAAGCCTCTTTAAAAGAGTAAAAGTGGGCCTAGAAGATTTTATCAGCAATTAAAATTAAAATTGAAACTGGAATTGTGATGAGTGTAGTTTGAATATTGTATCACTGCAGCAAAACAGGTGTGTCCAGGAATGCAAGACTTACGATGCTGGAAGTTTTTGAGAAAAGAAAAAATGTAGAGTTCCCTAATCATTTAGTGTTTTGGTGATGTTGTTTTCAACAGGTAATAAGAGAACATGGGGGAACATTTTGATTGGCTTTAGAATGCCAAGGTACTCAAAAATATCTATTTTTGTTTAACTTCAGCAAAGAACATAGTATACTCCCTACCTATTTGGCAGTGACCACAAAATAGCTAGAATCTGATCAGTTCTCACAAAAGTTTTTACTCACGCACTGAAAATTTACTGGGCTTGCTTTAATAGTCACTAACTTGTCTCCCTTCTTTCCAATCCCATCTTTGTTACTCTATTCAGTTTTCTTAAATCTATTCATAGTTTTTCCATCTGATGTTTTTAAAAAGTTACCTAAGGTTGACCCTGTGGTACAGTACTGCTTACCATACAGAAGGCTCTGGATTCAAGTGCCTATATGTATATTTTGCTAAGAAATGATAAATGGTGGAAGTTTTAATTCTAGGGAAAAAGTTTTTAAAACTATGAGAAATGATACTACTTGACTCAGAAGTCAACATATTTGCATAGTTCTAATAATAGTGATCATAAATGTGACCATGCTAATATAGAGCTATAATGAATTATAGTACTCTCAACAGATATAGTCACAATAATTTATATAGTTATAGTAAGGTATAAGAGATAATGATATATTTATAATAGAGTGTAATATTTCTAAAAGACATCATTGTAAGGTAAATACTGAAAGTAATTTAATTTGAGAATAGGGAAAGAGATGGTATAGAATTGGAGCTTTAAAATAAAATTTTCAGTTATTATTCAAAAAATGAAGAAATTGGGACAAAAAGATGAAGAGATAGGGTATGAAGACATAACTATAGAGATAAATACCACAATGTAAATTTTTTAAAAATCAAAACTTTTTGCTCTAGAATTAGCTAAAAATTGAAGTTGGTGGCGTAAAACATATTTTACTTTCTTAAGTTTTTATTATTTAATAATTTAGTTGCTTAAATTTTAATCTATAAAAATTAAAATGAAGAATGAGACGTATCCTGGAAATTTAAGCAGAACCTTCATTTGTTGAACAGTATATATTTGTATCATGAAAATTTTATTACTACTATGTTAAAACAACAAAAGCAGTTTGAAAAATTCTTTCTCATTGTTATATATGTTAAATAAATTATAAAATTTCTATTTTGTGCTATTTTATTGAATATCCAATGGGTGTAGAGTTGTATAATTTTCTTGTGAAATGTTTATGAACTAAACAGCATTGACTATCTCATCATAATACTGGAGTAAGCATAATACTAAATGATTATAGTTATATTATCTTAAGGTGATAATATTATTATTTTGCTTCATTCACGTTAGTGACAATCTTTGATTAAAACGATTAAATATGAATGACTCTGTGAGTAAATAAGACTGATTTAAAAACAAGGAAGAAAAGATATTGGTGCTACAGATAAGTCCCAGTTCATGTTTTCTAACTAAATAAATAATATGTTAGAAAATTTTTATAAAATTGTTAAAATTTTTTCATTTATATTTTGCTATAATAACTTTTTGAGAAAAGAAAAAATGGAGATTTCCCTAATCATTTGGTGTTTTTTTTTAAAATTTGGTTTTGTTTTCTGTTAATGAATAAAAGAAAAAGTGTAGATTAATGTTTTTACTTCTGTTAATGAATAATAAAAAGTATATTATTTAAAATATATTAAATACTATAAAAAGAATAAATTTAACCACATTTATTTTGACTTCTTCATCTGTAATGGTTCCTAGATGTGTGTTCATGTTATTCATTACAAAATGACAGCATTTGTGATTTTCTGGGAAGATGGACTTTAAGCCTTATACACATTTGAGAAAGAAGACTGTCCTGTGATACCAAACCATGTACTACTAAGTAACCAGGACTTCATGAAGACTCTTCCTCACACCTTCTGGCAGATAGACACATAGCTTTCAAAAGAACTAGAAGAAGGCAAGAGTCCCTGAAAACTGTGTGAGGATAGTCATCAAAAGCCAGGTAATCAAAATGCCTCATGAAATTACCACTCAAGGCAGATGGCATTATTAAAAGCTGGCTGACTTCATGGAGAAAAAAAAATAACAGACTGCACTTGATAAGAGTCCTCTAATGAGAGAATTCTATTATTTTTCCTGTTTGCAATTTGTCTTTGCTTTGAGCTATGTTTTGTAACTTGTTTTCTGTTGTGTTTATGTAAAGAACATCATACTCTGTGTGCTACAGAGATTGGTGACTAATGTACAATTAAGTAAATACTCTTAGGACATTGGGTGTCAGTGGTCACAAATGTTAGGAACTAAAACATAACCCATTTGTTCAGGAAGGTAAACAGACTGCCATAACAAAACACCACTGACTAGAAAGAACATACAGCAGATACTTTTTACTGTCTTGAAAACCAAGAGGTCCAAGATCAAAGTGTCACCTCATCCATCCTTGTGAGAGATCTCTCTGGGTTACAGGTAGCTACCGTCTCAAAGTGTCTTCATGTGGTTTTTCTTAGTGCATGTGCAGAACAAGAAAAGAATCTTCTTCCACATATTGTTACATGAGCATCAATCCTACTGGACTAATGATCCACTCTTAAAACCTCATTTAAACTTCATTACCACTTAGAAAACATACTTCCTAATACAGTTACATTATTAGGAGTTATAATTTTGAATTATGTATTTTGGGCAACACTTTTGAGGCTATGGCTCAAGCTTTGATTTTGATAATGGAAAGAAAGCATTATCTCAAGGAGCAACTATACACTCCCATAAATGGAATGAGTTAGATTAAGAACAAATGAAAAGACAAACCATTAGAACTCTGGGCCAAACTATTCAGAAAGATAGTGCAGAACAATAATGTTAGGAAAGATGGCAGGCCCTATGGCCACTTAATTCCCAGTGTATTGATTCCTGGCATTCTATAGGTTTTCAGGAAGAGATGGGAAGCTTTTAAATGTGAGATAGACTAGGAGTGTAGCTTGAATATTGTATCACTGTGTCAACACAGGTGTGTCCAGGAATAAAAGACTTAGGATGCTGGAAGATAAAGAGACAACTAAGACTTTGTTGGGAGTGGCTGAAGTTGAAAATTGGTCATATGTGTGAGGACAAGACAGAGCCAGAGTGCCTAAAGAAGTCAAACTACTTCAGTCTTGAGAAAAACATCTTACTTGGACAATTTCAGTTATTAATCACTAGGCAACCTTGTGACTAGTGATACTAACTTCACAAAGGTATAAATGAACACCCCTACTGTTAGTCAGTCCTCTTGCCCATGAGGTAAGAGGCCACTCCACCTGACCCCAGTGTTGGTCTCTTGTCTTTATTTACTAAGTCCCTTCACCGTTTTCTTCCAGGGAACACTGAGAGAACACCAAATCTCCACAGACTTTAAATGGGGAGGGATTAATGATGATCATAGTACATTTAAGGAAAAGGTGTTTTGTTTCTTTTTCCTTAAAATAATATAGGAAAAGATGAATCAGCTTACAAATAAGTATTTTAAAACTTGTTTTTTAATCATCTCTTCCCACTATAGGCATTATTGTTTGGACACTGAGATTTGTACCATCTAAAAATATTTTAGAGTTGTATATAGCATAAGGTTAAGATACATATGAGACTTATGAATAAAACAGTAAAGATACTTAACTGAAAAATTAAGCATTATTCAAAATTATGTGAAAAGCTTCTTTTGGAAAATAATTTGAATGTCATATGGCATAGCTGTAAACAGTTCTGATGGTAAATGTTGAGTTAAGTGTCTTTGAAATTTGGAAAACATTAGATACTTTTAAATTCACAGAGT